AAAAGTAGAAGGGGGATTTTGGGCGGCAGCGGGTTGGACCATACTATCTTAGAACTGATTTGGTTTCGAGCGATTCTTTATCTAGATTGGTAATCTAGTTTGAAAAATGTTGGGTTTTAAAATATTGGTTTGTAACATTATATATTATGAGCCACTATTTAAAAAGTAAAACGGTGGGGTAGATCATCCATCCACTGAACCCCATAGATGATCTAGACCATGAAGGAGAGAACAAAAAAATTGTATACAAGATACATAATATTTTTTTTTTTGGAAAAAATAATATACATATATCCGTTATATTTACCATTATTATAAGATTACCTCCAAGTTTTCATTATTACCCGTAAGCCATTAACATCGTGGTGTTCGAAGATCTTGCCATGCGGAACTTGGATTCCATAAAACTTCAAAAAGTGGAGGCCATAAAAGCCGGATTCTTAAGATGTGGAGGTGAGAAAAGACAAAAAAAGGTTAAGCTACACATCATACAATATGGTGTTAAATCGTTTTCTTGATCCTAATTGTTTATTTTTTTAATATTAATTTGACATTATGGGAGGTTACAACGTTCCAAATGTTATAATGTGATACTTTAGGGGAAACTTATAATTTCAAAAACAGAACATAATCAACTTTATTGGTATGTGGCGATCACATAAAATTTTCGTTGCACATCTCCACTTCACCCACTCAGCTCTAATTTTATGTACGACATCTTCTTCAATTTCTCTATTTTCTTAAATTATCAACTCAAAATATCGAAAGTACGTTCTTTTTGGTATTTCTTAACCATCAATCTTAACTACATAAAAAAAAAAGTATTTACCCTAATAAAATGGGAAAGTTCAGGTATTAGTTTGAGTAGACCATATAGGAAACATCAGAGTTTCAACATTTTGAGGCAAAGCTATTTAAAAACATATCTCTAAGTTTAAAACTCTACCGTCTACGTTTCATGATAATACAGTTTATCATTTCAAAAGCCTAAAAAATCATGATAGCAAAGTCTATCCATATAATCGCCATTTCACAAGCTGATAAACTTCAAACATTATGCTATTGGTATGGATTTAATTACATGCTATTATATTTGTATAAAATGGACAGTGTCGTGCGTTACTGTACGATAAAATTTAGCTTTTCATGGATTTAAATTGAAGAAAGGAGTGTTAGTGTTTCACTGGCTTTTGTATAAAATTGAGTTTTTTTATGGATTTAAAATTTAGCTAATTAAAGTGCGTGTACTAAAAAGAAGTAATATTAAGTTAATTATATGGGAGTAGCCGCTTCTCTATAGATGTGCCATGGAGGACACATCCATCGTACGAACCATCTGCTACCAAGTCCATGGGGGCCTTTGGTTGGAATCCATAAAAAACTGAAAAAACACTTCCGTCGGCCGGTCTCCGGTTGTAGCAATGTTGAATGAACGGCACTAGGCAGGTCCCGATTTTTTTATCAAATTTGAACCAAGGTTCTAGTGGTGACCTCTGTCTGGCCATCGGTCTATGGGTGTTGTGCTCCTCTTATTTGTTCCCGTTAATGACTACAAAGTTTGCCAAATGAGAGAAACCCCTAGATCTGAGATGATTGAAGATGGTAGTCCGAAGTAGACCACTACATTTTGGAAGCAGAATTCGGCTATCTGGGAAAAAATGGTCATCTTATAGAATTTGAAAGATCGATTACGACAAAAACATATTGCTTCCCCCTCATACGAAATCCATGGATGCTCACTTTGAAACTATTTATTATTAGTACAATGAGGTAAAATCATTTGTAGCTATCAGACGTGAAATCCAATAAATTGAAAGTATGTCACAATATTTGAAAAATTTTCTTTTAGACTTTATGCTCAATTAATGATATATCCTCAACCACTAATTTTCACATCCAATAGTTATTAATGATTGTGATCCTTATATCAAAAATCAATAGTCTCACTGTATATATTTCCATTATATAAACCTCCCATTACATATGCTTGACTTGCTATGCTGAATTCTAAAATCATTGACTTTAAGGTATTGTCACAAGGCCGATACAACTTCTCAAATTTGGCATAATGATGCAAATCGTACAACAAAGAAAATTGAAAATCAATTAATATGGAGATTATTTTTATGTAATATATAACGAAAGACCACCTCTATTTTTTGTGAGAGGTGGTTCATATGATGATATATGTTTTTATGGCTGTATCTCGTATGTCAGTAGACATAATATTTTTTAAAAAAGCATGCCAGTAGACATGTTTCATTCTTATTGCTTGATTTTACATATTCTTTTCAATATTATATATATATATATATATATGGATTTTCAGAGTTAACAACCCCTACAAAACATAACATTGGTTCAAGTTAGAGCTATTTGTGAACCTCTTTTTACCCTCCATTACCCTAGTATTAAAAGAACTCAAAGCCTATATAAAAAGACATTTTAGATTTTTAGTTCAAAAATTTTAAAAACAAATACAAAAATGAGGGATTTTGAATTTTGGCCATCTCCTCTCGCTCTCTCTCCCTCCCTCACCTTCCCCATCCTCTCTGCGTCTCTAACTGTTAGGCCTTGCCCTCCCCCATACCATCTCTATTACCTAAAAAACACAGGAAAATACTCTATTCTCTCTCTCGCCTTACTATTCTCTCACGCCTTGCCCTCCCTCTCTTCTTTCAAGACCTCTATTAGGGAACACCAATTTTTTGGTTGAAGATTGAATGGAGGATTGCCTCTTTGAGAACCCAATATTAGATTCAAGTTAAAAACTACTCTCAAGATCTTGATTTTGAATAAGGTATCGATTAATACTTAAGATATATATTCACTTTTGGTGAAGAATTAGCATGCTAATAATCCCTCTCTCTGTCTCTCTCTTCCCTCTCTCTAGGGCCTATTGTTCATCTCAATATGAATTTGCAGGCCCACTAAAACATGGACTTGATGATTTTTTTTTTTTTTTTACTTTAATCTTGGGTTTTTTTCCTTATTGGTTTTTTGGTGTCGTATTCTCTCCTCATTTTGATTTTTCACTGTATTTGTGTTCGTTTAGGCTCCTCCAATTCTAAAAGCTCAAGTGACTGATATGAAATGGAATTATCTCAGTCCATATATAAATAAAAAAATCCCCCCAAAAAGTATAGGTTCAACTAGAATCACTCAAATTAATATTTGATTCATTGTAGCTACTACAATTATTGACTTGTTTGTAGACCTTATTGAGATCCAACACATTTGCAAAGTATCTGATAAAATTCCTACTACAAGTGCAAATGGAGAAGCCACATCAAGATTGTCCCCGAGTGGGTTTTAATGTTGATTACTGGTGGAAAATCCTACATTATCAAAAATATTGGTAAAAATATCCTTGTGATTGTCATATATTGCATCCCTATTGTCAAAGTAGTTTTATGTATTATGCTTTTATTTAAGATTTTTCTATGGATATGTAGGGCATGTTTTAATACCAAAAGCACTATATTTTTTAATTATTTTACTTTCATATTAATTTTGTTTTCTTGATATGTAGGGCATGATACCATAGGCAATGAATCTTTTTTTTTTTTTTAATCATAAAATTTGGACACTTTCCACAGATACATAAGTGAAATGCCACATGGGAACTCCTTCAAATGAAATCAAGAAGCTTAGCATCAATTGAAGAAAACCCAAGCTATTTCTAGATCCATACCATGGGAAAATATTTTTAACTCATGAAGATGCTTATGAATTTTCACAAGTGTTTCCCCAAGGAATGGGGATTTTCGGTGCGTCGTAAACGAACTATTGGAAAAGAAGGTGATGGGAATCGAACTACTAAAAGATATTATGTTTGCCATAGGGCGGACCATTTAACATACAAAGACCATTCTGAAATTAAAAGAGAAAAAGAACGATCATCAAGAAGATGCAATCGTGGAGCGCAATTGGGGCTAGAAATGCAACTTTACATACGTGTTTTTCGGTTATTTACATGTGACAATTTTGTATATGTAATTTTGAAGTTGTACATAATGATTATTGTCGTAGCAATTTTGTTGAGAAGTTATTATAAGATTGAATGTGGATGTGATTATTGTCGTAGCGATTTTGTTGAGAAGTTATTATAAGATTGAATGTGGATGTGAGAGGTTATTGTAACGTTGAATGTGGATGTAGTATTGATGTTGTACATCAAATGTAACATCAAGGAGCTATGTTGAGGACAATCTATGATGCTGTTCTGGCATATCAACAACTTCATCATGAAATTCATTCATCATTCACCCCTTATGGGCTCCATTTACATACCATTTTTTGTGAAAGTCAAATGTACAAACACAAAAACTCATGAAAGAAAAAACAAAAGATTTTTACCAACAACCGATCGATTGTGGCTCTGTCACATGCTCCACTTTCCACTTAAACTTTTCTGGGGACTGATCGCATGCAAGAATTATGAATCACACCTTAACGTCAGAGACTTACTGTAGATTTCCCAGCAACTTCCTGTGTTTTTTTTTTTTTTCCATTTTCTTTGTAGGTTTTGTACATAGTAAGAGTCCTGGTAAGAAGAACAAGAGGGCCATTAATTAAGTCTCCCAAATTAAACATTCTTACCAAAGTACATTTTCCTCTCCCAAATAAGAACCCAACTGTGGAAGAACTTCCCCTCAAGGAAAGAGACAAGATACACTAAGAAAAACAACACAAGAAGAGAGAACAGCAGAAGGAAAGACCGAGAAGGAAAGAGCACAAAGTTTTCTCCTAGTTGCCTCAAACCAAGAGTTCTCAAGCCCAGCCACCACCACCAACATTGGTTGCACTAGTAGTAGTAGATGCATTCCACCCACCACCACCACTATTACCACCACCAGACTCTGGCCACGCTGCCCCACTACTCCCCCCTTTCTTGCCTGAATTCCAACCTGAATCACCACCACCCCAATCACCATCAGGGCCCTTCCCTCCACCTCCACTTCCACCACCACCCCAATCACCATCAGGGCCCTTCCCTCCACCTCCACTTCCACCACCACCCCAATCACCATCAGGGCCCTTCTCTCCACCTCCACTTCCACTTCCACCACCACCCCATTCACTATTAGGGCCCTTCCCTCCACCTCCACTTCCACCACCGCCCCAATCACTATTAGGGCCCTTCCCTCCACCTCCACTTCCACCCCCACCCCCACCCCCACCCCCACCCCAATCACTATTAGGGCCCTTCCCTCCAGCTACACTTCCACCACCGCCCCAATCATTGTTCCGGCCACTTCCACTACCACCACCACCACCCCAATCGTTATTTCGCCCACTTCCAGCATCACCAACCCCATCACTATTTTGCCCACTTTCACCACTACCCCATTCACTATTTCGCCCACTTCCACCACCTACCCAATCACTACTTGAGCCCTTTCCTCCACTCCCACCACCACCACCACCACCACCCCCCCAATCACTATTTCTGCCACCTCCTGCACTTCCACTCCATCCTCCACCTGCCTGAAGATCATCTCGTGATGGAGATTCTGATGATTTATGGCCAGAAAGGCTTCCCCAAGCACCACCACCACTCTCCTTTGACCCCGAACCCCACCCACCACCAGTATCCTTTGATCCCGATCCCCACCCACCACCAGTATCCTTTGATCCTGATCCCCAGCCACCACCACTATCCTTTGATCCTGAACCCCAGCCACCTCCACTATCATTTGCACCTGAACCCCATTTGGAAGAGCCATAGCCAGAATCGTTGCCTTCATCGTTTCTCCCTCCTCGCCCCCTCCCTTGACCATAGGGCCTTGGAACACCACTGGGGTGGCCATCACGAGCATTGTTTCCATGCCTACCTGTTTGTGACACAAAGATACAAAAGATTCAAGGCTTTGATTTACACAATCCAAATACTATGTGCAATAAGAGTTGGAAAGAATTATCAGTCTGGTCGACTAAAGTAATGGTACTCCAAGACCACCGTATCCATCATATGTGCTCACTGATTGATGGTTGGAGATTAATTTGTACTGTGTACCTGTGTAGGACCACCTGGTTAATCCCTAACCAAACATCCAAGCACCAGATGGTGGATGTAATCTAGAGCACAGCATGCACTATGGTCCAGAATGATATGCTTTTTCTTGGTAGTAGTAGTTTAGCAGTCTTGTTTAGCACGACATTAGAGAACTTGTGATTGAGAGAAAATCAATGATCCACAATCACGAAGTCCTTAACCATATATGAATATGGAGACCACCACAAGGATTTCTTTGAATAATCGCCATCAGCAAATCAACATATTTTATATTACCATAATATTTTTTTTTGATGTAGTCAACTGTTGTATTAAAGGGTAAGGGTAGTACAAAATTAAGTCTCCAAAAAGTGGAGACTATATACATACAGTACTGGAAACCCGCTATGAAGGAGCTCTATAAATGGATTATCCAAATAACTTAAAAAACATTGAGTGGAGATTCATAATTGTGGACTGAGCTTGCCAAAGACATTAACATGTTAAAGGGCTATCGTTTTCAAAAATTATCCAGAAAATCCACGTTTGGAAAACCTCAAGGGAAACATTGTGAGAAATTTCTGAGATGAGATTGAGGGCTACAGCCCCAAGTGCACCAAAAAGTTCAATCTGTGAACATGAGCAGTTCAATTAACACACTGATTCTAATGATAGAATGGACATTGTCATTTGGTCTCTAGCTTTTGCTATCTGCCCCCACACACATGGCGGCCTTCTAGTCGGCCAGCTTTTTTATATCCCCACCATTTTTGGGTGGGAGTAGCAACTCTCTCTCTCTCTCTCTCTCTAGCCAGGAAGCCCCATCGCTCTCAACTATCAATTTCTCTCTCTCTTTCAAGCTTTTAACGCTCTCTCTACCATGGCTGATTCACAACCTTCAAGACCCTAATTTTTATCCTTTCTGAAAAGGACAGGCAGAGAAGTTATTTTGAACTTTTGAGCTATACGGCTTCTCAGAACTCGGCAACAACATAGATCATCAAGATAAACAGAGGAACCTTTAAAATCAAGTATGAGAAAGGCTTGACCAAGCTCCATTGCTTCGATCTCAGTATAACCCTAACCAAAGCATTCACAGTGAGCTGATCTGGTAAAAAATAAGGCTGAACCTTTGCTGTCTAGTAATAGTAGGGAGCTGGGGTTTCAGTTTGAGGGTTCCTCAAGATACCTCGTATAAAGTTCTCAACTGTGGGGTTTCTATTTCAGACATTAAAGATTGAGCAAGTGGCTATCAGTATCTCCAATTTTGGCTTCATCAACAAGTTTCCAAGAAGAAGAGAAGATCTAAAAGCCAAAGTTTCAGGGAAAGCAAAAGTGTCATCATTCTCAAAAAAAAAAAAGTAAAAAGTGGCAAAAATTTGTCGATTCTTGGTGCAAAGTTGCAGAACTGGAGGTGGTCATCTTGGCCATGAAATTAGGTTTTCCCATGAGATCAAAGGAGCTCCAGAATGATGATTATTGGTGTTTGAAATCACCATATTTTCCTAATTGTTTAGAGAGAGTGAAGATATGTTAATTATAGGACTGGTGACAATGGGTCTCAATGGTTTAGAAAAAGATTGTCGGAATCTTAATGGCTTTAGAGAGAGAATGGAGGAATTTAATGGCATGAGAAAGAGTAAAGAAATTTTAGATATAGAAACAGGGACTCTTATTTGGTGGGTAACCGGCATTACCCGGTAACTCCCATATTATGTTGTAACGAGCAGCTGAAATCTAAGCTCAGCAATCAGGCAGCTCTCTGCCAAGGACGAAACTGGGCCGCCCTTGGGAGAACAAAATGTTTTCTCTTTACTTTTTGGGCAACATACCTGTTCTTGAGCCGGGTGTCGAAGACCGATCCCTATCAAAGCTCGAACGACCCCCCCTCCACCCACCATCCCCGCTCGATCCACCAGTAGCAGGGCTCCTCATCGGTACCATCGCAGCCACCGATCGAATGGGCGGGACTGAATCATTCGGAATATCATCAATATGCTTCTGAAAATGAGCCACCATCTTATCAAGACTATCAAACATGCGTTTCCGAAATTTGAAGCCCTCAGGATACAAGCCAATGTACTCATGGTGAGGGTTAGTGCTTCGAATATATGACAGTATGAAGGTGCCAGGGTGCTCATGCGAAACCCCAAAACTATACACAATCCTCATGGGGTAGTCCGATTTCTCCATTCTTAGAAGGTCATCAACTTCTGACTTGGTGCCTCTCTTAAATTTCCGGTAGCTGAGAATGGTCTTAAGGTTGGTCACAAGGGGATCCACATATCTATCCATGACCTGGAGAGCAATTCTCTCTTGTTAGTATATAATTTATTGAACGAGTGAAAAATGAAAGATCTAGTTCAAAAAGGCAAGGAAAGTACAAGAGACAAGAGAGGTGGAGACAGGAGGAATAAATACAAAAGTTCCCAGAAACAAGCTTTTAAATGGTCTAAGAAGAGCACCGCCAAGATGGACGTAAGCTTGGGGGAAATTATACTGAAACCCAATGAACAGTGGAAAACCACAACTCATAGGGGTAGCCCCAGTCCAGTGAAATGAGTCAATGACCATGATATACCATAGTGCGTAGGACTACAGTACACTTTTCAAATATGAAAATAAGAGAATTGAAGTAATTAAAACAAATTCAGGTTACAACGTCTAGAATGCTTTCTATACTAAGAGAGGCACCAACAAACAATTTAAACAAGATCAAGTATCAATATTACTGCACATATGCCATAATTGATAATATTATCTTTTTCTGCCTTTAAATGATAATAGTCCATCTCCAATATAACTACTGAAACCGAAAATATGCCCAAAGCCCAATTTTTTAAAATATCTACAAAGCTCAATTTGCCAGAGCCCAATTTAGTTCAGAAACAACCAAATTCCCCAAGGCATCAGCAAGGAGTTATTATATGAAGCAGAAGTCTGATGAGAGTTAGAAAATCATAATTCCTAGGGAACTGGCAATATTTTAAAAATGTTCTATCAAAGACTCAACACATTTATGAGTCGTACTGTAGCATTCTATAAAGATAAATGGCGCAACCAGCTTTTCAAGTAAAATAACACAATTCAAGAAGGATGAATAATAGCATGATAAATCACCATATTTACATAAACAAAAAGACAAGTACACCAACCTCATCAAGATCCTCATATGTCTGTTCCCCGATTTTTAAAGTTTTACCAAGACGAAGCAAGCTCGTGACATCCTTGTGGTCCTTACCACCTTCAACAATGTCTTTGTGAGCATAAACCCCTTCATACACTTTGAGAGTCAATGTTAAATAACTTGGCCCTCTTGAACTGGGACGTATAATGCTTTCACCAATGTCCTTGTCCGAAAGGAACTGTTGCATAATAATCTAGATATTAACATGCTCTAAGGATCCAACTAAAAATGCAATTAGGTTAAAGACAGAATGCTTCCCATTATTAACCATGTAAGCCATGCCACAAGCTCATTCAACAATATGTCAAATCTTGATATTTCTCTCAACTTCAATAGATATCTATCTTTTATTTATTTCACATGATTAATTGTATGAGGCCAAATTGTCCTCTTACTAAATGAATTGTGAGAAGAAATGTAGAAGCCATGCCACAAGCTCATTCAACATAGATATTTCTCTTAAGTTCAATAGATATCCATCTTTTATTTATTTCACGTGATTACTTTTACGTAGCCAAATTGTCCTCTTACTCAATAATTGTAAGTAGAAATGCAATCTAAACAGATTATGAACCATGGGAAACTGTAATCCATTAACTCCTCACTCACGACCCACTGAAATGATGGACAGAGACAGAGACAATGAGATGAGTGAGACCCACCAGAGCAGGATATGAGTCCAACGCTGGGTCACACTCCTCCATTGTCCTTGATTTTCTTTCTTTGTTAAATTTTTTTGATTGATAACTTAAAGCTCTTCATAATTGTCCTCATTTCAATGGATGGTAATATGAATGGTGATTGCCCTTTGGTTTGCTTTTCCATTCCATTGCTTTATAACAAGCTTTTCCTTTTGAGGAAATAATTCTTTGCAGTCACTATGGATGAACTTTAGAGATGATCATATGAATGAATTTTAGAGATGATCATACAGTGGCCAAGAAACGGATTCGCAGTATAGTCAATCAAGAGAAACAGAAGATATAGTATACCTCCATGGCTTCGTCAGCACTGATATTTCGAAAGCGAGGATGAACTATCATTCTTGACTTGAATGACTTCTTTGCCAGTTCCTCCTTCTCCTTGCGAGCCTTCTCCTGACTAGCCAAAATACTCTCATCTTCTGAATAATAGGGGTCCCGTTTGCGTGAACTTAATATGAGATCATTCCTTCCCCTGCATGTCAAGATAACATGGCTTCTATTATGCAAAGTTTTATTAATTTGTTTGATTTTGCAAGTTATTATGCTGCCTTCATCCAACTTCATATCTTTATCATCTGGGAGTTCATTCAGATTAATCAGTCCAGTCAAACCAGATTCCAGAGTGCAAATGGCACGCAGGTCATTTACTCTCCGAATTGTTGCTTGCACAGTCATCCCTTCTGTGAGAGTGTCCTCACTTTCCCCAGAAATCATATAAAACTCCTCTTCTGGAGTTGGTTCTCTGTAAAGAGTGCGCCTGTCTTGAAACCCATGAAGCAACTCCAACCTAATGTCATACAGGGTCTCAAGCTTTTGCTCTTCGTGGCTTGAAGCATATGCACTGATTATAAGCTGTTGAAGCTTCTCTGGCCTGTTTCTCACATGCTCAATTGCCATAACTTGTGTGTCCTCATCCATCTCATTGGCATCATCATCATTTTCAGCCAAATAAACATCCTTTGCCATTTTCTCGGCTAATGCATATGACTCCGGATGGATTCTCGTGTCATCCAGTACGTCCATCACATAACTACCAGAAGCTGCCTGCCCGCTCCCTCGCACTCGCAAAAATCCAGCAGCATTAATGAAAACATTTTGTTTGAGAGCTCTCAAATTCAATGGAATTTCTTTGCGACTAAAAACCCTCCCAGCTCTAACTACTGCTCGCTGTAAAGATGCAGCCTTCCTTGGTCCAAGCCCGGAAACAAATTGCAAAGGAGAGAAGAGCCATTCATGGCAGGCAGCCAAGTTTATATCGATACCAACTTGGTTGGTGACATCTACCATTACTTGTTCAATTGCCTCATATCTTTCATCAGGTGTAAGAAAGTTCTCTAAACGGTTAAGCTTCAAAGACAATATCTCCCGTCCTGGACCACATAAAGTAGCCACCATGGCTAATGGGTTTTGCAAATTACGTCCAAGGGCCACAGCACGCCTAACAATACCTGCAAATAAAGGAAAATTAGTAATATATAAAATCATCAGGGATCTCTCATAGTATCTTCCAAAAGAAGGGGAAAAAGGTTGACGTTGACTAGCGGACTGAGTGGTCCTGACCTTGCTGTCCAGGTAGCTGATCCAAGGAGATACGAGAATTCTCATAGAGGTGAGGTAAAGATTCATCTCCATATACCACACCTATCCCTTCCATTTCTTGACCAATTTCTTTAGGATGCTCCTCAACCATACTAAAAATTACCTGAAAGGACAAAACATGATTGTTGGTATTCCGTTGATGTATTTCATTTAAATAATCATTGTGCTATTTAGATCTTCACCTACAAGCAGGCGTGCATTAAACATTGCTTTGGCAACCATTAAGATACTACTCAGAAGCATCTCAGTGACACTGAATTGTCAACTTTGGAGTATAATAGTGTATATCATAAAATTACAATTTCATTAATAGCAGAGTAAAGGAGTGCTCTTGGAAACGAGTCACATGGTGAAATATCCACTTAGATTATGTACGTTATATTATAATTTCTAAAAATACTGCAGCATTTCTACTTAATAGATGACAGGCTTATGTTTTCTAAGGCGAAGAAGTTACTGAGAACCAGCTGTAAGGAAGAGATTAGAGAGGCTCATAAAGACCATTTAAAGTTTGGTCAGTTGAGATTAATTCCCACTTTGGATAAAAAAGACTCAGAAACCAATAAATCATTCTAATTGGCATTGATGGAGGAGGAACATATTTTATTCAGATTCAAGATAGAAGTTAGTTTAGAAAAGAAGGTGGATGATTGGGGGCGTAAAACGCAAGGGGGAATGGGGAAAGGAGTAAGATTGTGCAGAGGTTGAAGATATTCTACAGAAGGAGACGGGAGTAATCTAAAGAAATGTGGATCAGAAGACGTGAAGACAAAGGAAGTGGGAAGACAGGATGCTTAGGGGAACAAGCAATGTTTAAACAATCAGTGATCCAAATCAGAACTGGCCGATCCGGATTAGGAATCAGTCGGGCTGATCCGTATCACCCAAAATATCGGGAATCGGTTCATACAGTATTGGATCCAATTTGTTTTTTATTTTTTACTTTTTAACCATTGAACCAGACCCACCTAATTTTTTTAATTTTTTAATTTTTTAATTTTTTAATTTCCAGTTCAGTAAACCGGATCGCCGAACCGGATCAGAAATCCAGAGGGGCGATAAGGGTCACCAATCCGCTCTTTAAAACCTTGGCTAGAAGAGTAGTTTAGAGGTTGATAAGGGGAGGATGAAATTTTAGGAGCCAATCCTTCCCTTTTGACACGGCTCAGCCTGTTGTGGAAGAAGGTGATACTTGCAGGTTATCATAAGGTTCAGAAGAAATGCAGCTTCCCCACAGGGAATTGTAAATATCACAACTAAGATCCACGACATCCATTGGGATGTTTACTTCTTTTTTTCTCTCTTTTTATCAATAGTAGGATGCCTATTCACAAGCACATCATCAGGGCATCTCTCATGGGGAACAATCCAAGAAGGTAATGAACAAATCAAGATTAGAACTTAGCAAGGACTTTTTTTTGGGGGTAGATCACTCAGCAAGGACTTGCCGAAGCTTCGGACAGATCTGCGGATTCACTCAATCTTCATATAAAAAATGTGCGGAAATGCAGGAGTCAATATCTTTATGGTTGAACATTAATTACCAAAATATCCCAACTTGGTGCGATACAAGGGTTCCCACTCTAAGGAGTTGGATCTTGGATGGATCCCAGTCCCATATGGGGGGCACAAGATCCCATCCCCTTAGCCGTCGGCCATTATAGTTCACAGACATGTTATCAGGAAAAAAGTCTTACCATATCAATAGATAAACAAAAGCAATCATGCTGCAAAATCCAGTCCTATATATCTTTGAAAGGAAAAAAGAGATACTTTAATCTATATTTATCCAAAAAAAGGAAAAGAAAAGTCTTTAACACATGCCAATCAAGGAGAAAGGAAAATTGATGAAAATCCCTATACAGTTAATTTTTTAAGGAGAAAAGATGCATATATACAGATCATTTAAAAGAAAAAGATAATCCATATGCAATGGTTTCATAATAGCATTAGAGAAGGTTTAATGGATCCAAGTTTAGCAACTTTGCATGAAAATTCATCTCTCTTAATCTCTATCTATATTTATTCTCTAAACAAATGTAATTATGCTGCAAGATCGTGTCCTGTATTCTTCTAAAGGGAAAAGAGAAATTTTAATCCATATTTATCCACAAAACAAAAAAGGGAAAAGGAAAGTCTTCAGTGCATCATCATCATCCAAGCCTTATCCCAACTATTTGCGGTCGGCTAAAAGTCTTCAATGCATGTCAATCAAAAAGAAAGAAATATTGATGCAAATCCTTATACAGTTAGTTTTTTATGGGAAAAAGATGTATATACCCAGATCAATTAAAAAAGAAAATATATTACTAAACGCAATTGTTTCATAATTGCATTAAAGACGGTTTATTGGGTCCAAGTTTAGCAACTTTGGATGAAAATTCATCTCTTTCATCTCTATCTATATTCTATATTTCATTTTAATATATAAAGAAGGGGTAGAGCAAGAAAAGGCCAGAATCTGTTTTTGGCTTGAAATCTAACTAATATCTTAAATTTTACAATTTACAAGATAAATCAAATAAATGCAGGTCTTTTATATGATAAGAGTTGAGTAAATAAATATGAATTTAAAATTGAATTGAGAAAACGCATTTCTAAATAACATAAATATATTGCAAATGTGTTTATTGTGTATCTAAATATACTTTACAAATTTTGTGTCTATGTTTTAAATTTGGGAAATTATGGTTTCCCCTTTGACCAAAAAAAAAAAATTGATATCACATGGTTTCTTCCAGTACTTTTTTTTTCCCGACACCCACCCCCACACAGAAAAAGTCTACTTGGGACGAAAATACCCCCCGTCACCACATTTCAATCCATTTTTTCCCATCCCTTTCTCTCTATATCCTCACCACAGCCATGGGCTTCAACTGTTTTCACACCCCTTTCTCCTCCATCCTCCCCATGGGCCTCAACTCTCTCGAAGAGCCCACCACGGCCCTCAACCCTTTCTCTCCATCGGCTTATTGAAGCCGGTCTGGCACAAATTATACTGGACCGGCTTCTTTCTTTCACTTGAAGCAGGTCCAGCAAAAAATGTGTTGGTCCTACTTTTGATCCCCAAAATGTGCCATTCCGACACTAAATTTTGATCCACATAATGTACCGGTCCGACAAATTGGTCTAGCACAAATGTACTAGACCAGCTTTTGATCCCCATTGTGCCAGACCAGCTTAGAGAGAGAGCGTGGGAGCATTATAAAAAAAAAAAAAGAGAGAACAATGGGTTAAGAAGGGATGGTATTTTCGCCTGAAAGAAAAATATTTCACTTGGGGTTGGGGGGTTTCAAGAACATAGGAGTTAGTAATGTGATTTAAACATTGTTGGGGGGAGCATGCCTAGACCGTTACTCCCACACCCCATCCAGTTCCCAAGCGTGCTCTTGCTGCCAACACCTATGGGATGAACAAAGATACAAATGCCAAAGGTTTATAGGGATAAAACAAAGTTTTTTTTTTGTTGTCATCTGATTTCTGATACTAAAAGTACACCACATTTTCCAAATTTGCACTTCCACTAGAAAACATCACTTTTATAAAAAATCATTGCTTAAAAACCATCTATATGTCAAAAACCAGTTTATTTTTAAGAAAAGGAGCACCTATTCCATATATAGTTGTTAATAGGTACCAAAATGTTGTGTGTTAGATATTTAGCAGAGAATAAAATATAAGGATTTAAAATACTGATGGTCTAAACTAGCAATTAAAAAAATGGAAAAGTACACCATGAGAATATTGATCTTTGGTACAAGGTGGTCACAATTAATCTTGACCATTGGATGTGAAATTGGGCGGCTGCATTTACTGCATTGAACAAGCTCAAAGTTCAAAAGATTTTTTTCGTACTTTGTGACACACCCAAGCTATCAAATTTCACATCGGAGGGTCAAAAGTAATTATCACCTCCTTGTACCAAAGGTAAATAATGGTCTCCATTATATACAATCCCTTAGAAAATAAGACGAAACTTCTCTAGCAGAGGGCTAAAATCCTAAAGTGCCCTCTCCCACCAATCATGACATGAGTACATAGAATCAAATGGGCGCAGTATTAAAATCACCATTTCCTATCGTGATATTAGAAAAAATCCTAAAGGAAAAGCACAGTAACTAACAATGTTTAAACGCCAGGACTCAGCCTTGAACTTGCCAAGGTGCCGAGCCTGAGTACGGTGCTGACTCAACCGAGTTGGACTACCTGACTAGGCCGAGTCCAATAAAAAGCTGCAAAATATTTAAGGATAGGTTTAGTTATCCAGATCCAGCACCCTACTGGGTCTGAGGGACTCAAGCAAGTCCGAGCCCGATTCAGTGGCTTTTAGAACACCGGATATTCACATGCAACATAAACAGAGTATGTGAACATCAGAATGGATGATTTGATGACTATGATCAGTGATGTGGTGGTATGTGAACATCAGAATGGATGATTTGATGACTATGATCAGTGATGTGGTGGTGGTGGTGGTGGTGGTGGTGGTGGTGGATGTGGTGGTATGTGAACATCAGAATGGATGATTTGATGACTATGATCAGTGATGTGGTGGTGGTGGCCATGGCAATGACAATGGCGCAAATGATGGTAACAAATGATAAGATGAACAAGAACAAGAACACCAAATAGAGGAAGACAAGGAAACTAGCTCCTACCTCAAAAATATCATCCCTCAAGCGCGTACATGAGAAATTAACAGCTCCTAGGACAACAACATGGGGTTGGTACTCTGTCATAAACTTCAGAACACGTTGCTGGTCCAACTTCTTGCGTTGCTGCAACGCAGCACTTTGAGAGCGCACACTCAAGGAGGGTGCATACAATACATCCAATACTTCTCCCGACGAATCCAACATCACAAAAGTCGTAGGTGGTTTTCCAGGACCCCAGCAACATGCCATGACTTTTGGTGCTGGCTCATCATCAAAACCAACATCAGCATCCACTTCTTTGTGTTGAGTGTCATCTGCCTGCCTCTTATATGGGCCAACAGAGACTTTGTTCCAGATTTGTTTGCCATATTCCAATAGCAACCAGTTCTTGGCTCTAGCAGTCAAAAGAGCTCGTGCTTCTTTTTCCATTAATAGGAGGAGATTCTTCAAAGCGTCCTGCAATATCAATTTGCGCTGCTCATTCCAAAGCTGAGCAGCTCGGCTAACCCCATCACTGAGATACTTCTCCTCAAAATCAGCCATCAGAGAGTTCTGAGAGAGACTAAATGTAACATCAAGAAGGTTCTCTTCTTGCGCCTTCTGAATGAGAAGCCATTGTGCATCGTCAAACTTGGATATGGGCTTCTCACGCAACCACTTTACACCAGAGAACTGATGGAAAGCATCAATGACTGTGTTTCCATCGGAAGTGGGCCTCGTTGACACCAGGGCATACTCCATATACACATTACGGACATATTCTCGAACAGAGGGTTCAGAAAAGATCTCAATTGCCGCCTGGTACATTAAAAGAAAATTAAAATCAGATGTGCAATTGGAATTCAGTCCTACTTACAAATATCAAGCATTATAAAGACAAACCAGTCATCAATGCAGAGAAACCGGTCCGATCCGACAAACTGGACCAATCTTAAAAAGCAAAATACAATGGTAAACTTGTATAATATCTAAAGATTAAAAAAAAAAAAAGGGGCATTAAACTTCCACTATTTTGGGCTTTTTAAGATGACCAGTTCCTGATCCAATCAGTTTGAACCAGCAGAATACCTTTGGTGCTTATGACACTATAAGACAGTTCCCTTAAAGGACAGATGCAAACCATTTGCCTAGCGCCTTTGAGGACGGCTTGAGGAGATGAAAAGTCAATGCCCACAAATGTACTAGCCATCTCCTCGGGTGTTTCCCTAGCATCATCCACTTCATCCTGCATGATGGAAAAAGATCCTATTAAAAAATGAAAAACAAGGAGAAAAAAAAAACCGGAAGGGAAAAAAATACCAACTAGAAAAAATAAAAAGGACGAAAGAATTAGATTTGCTCTGAATTTAAAGCAAGCAGGGATCAAGGGGGCATATCCATACTGCACGACAGTTTTTGAGAAGCCAACCAAGCTTCTCTGGGCTAACCCCAAACTTGGAAGCAACCTCAGCTAGACCAGCCTTGCGAAGACGGCTATAATCTGATTTTCGCTTTGGTCTCTTGAATTGTCCTTCCTCCAACTCTGCCTCATCAGGGGGGAAATGCAGATTGAATTTGGCATCAATGTCATCCACAACTCTCTCTGATTCAGCTTTCTCGAGTGCTGCTATTAGGGATTCGAGAAGTTCCTTTTTTGAGTTGTCATTTCTGGCTTCTTCTCCTGCACGCTTGCTGTAGGAAACAGCAAGAGCTTTTTTCCTTCTTTGAAGAAGAAGCCACTTCCTGTCGAAGTTATGGATGGCCCAAAGCACCTAGAGATAAACACAATTGCACAAGTAAGCTTCCAAAAATCACTTTAGCAGACAATTAAAACTTTATACTTGATGATAGTTTAACTGCAGAAAATTTCACATGATACAAACGTAATTACCTTATGCCACCTCAAAGGGGGGGCCTTATCGGATTTGTCCCTCTCCTCATTTGATAGAACTTCTTCCTCTGGATCTCTCAACAGGTCAAGACAGAGCTCCTTCCGATACATCGCAATAAAAGGAATCTGAAATGGTGAAGATCAACAATGAGTCAATACTCCAAACAGAAAAAAGGCTTTACAAAACCAATAAAAAATAGATCATTCATATAGAAAAGGCTTATAAGGAATGAATCACCCACTATCAGTGGAAGTAGAAAGAGGGTTGCATCAAATCTTTTAAGGTGCTTACATCAAATTTTTGAACATGTAGCATTCCTATGACATTCGCAATCTCTGCAGTGATGTGATCCTTGTCCAACCTCATGATATGTTGAAACCCAACAGGTGATGGTCCAGTTGCAGAGCCAACAAGCTGACTATAAATCCATTCAGCCTCTTTAGTTATACTTTCCTCATCAGTTGGAACAGGACCAGTTATTTCTTCAGATAGCTGTAAAGGAAATTATGTCAAATATATGAAACAACACCGCAATAAAAAGGATGACAACTACTTTGGATCTATCCATAAAAATGGAAAAAAGAAGCCAACATCTTTGGACTCAAAATGTCCAAATGAACTTATCATACATATCAACTGCACCTACATTAGTATATGAGCTTTGTAAGTGACGAGAGACAAACCTGAATCCTTTCAGGGCGATCAACTTCTCTAATGCGATCATCTTTCTCTGTCATATACTTTTCCTCAAGAATGCTAGGCTCAAATTCATCCTCGAGCCGCTTTGGCTTTCCATCAACAGAATCGTCCACTCCATCAAACCCATCACCAGCTTTCCCATGCCCTAGTTTACGAAACCTCAGAAGTTCATCAACATCACCAAATATCTCATGGGCTTCTTGTAATGCAGATGACGAAACCCCAGGTGCCTGTCTTAAAACCTTTTTCTTTGGTTTTCTCCTCCTAACACAGTCATATACATGAGAATAAATGCATGGACAAAACCAAGCACCTTGAAGTGGTAACTTCTTCTTTCATGATACCTTACATGCAGCCTCCTTTTAAGAAATCAATTTCACTTCTTTACATTGCATTGTTTCTTACAATAGAGTGGACAGAAAAAATAGAACCAGGGGTCCCGTGTAATTTGAAGCATACCTCACAGGCAAACCATTCTCATCAACTTCTTCTTCATCCACTATGAAATCTCTCATTTCATCTTCATCGCCAATGTCTTCATCATCCTCCCCTTCCTGCTGCTCATCTTCAGAAATATCCTCAGGAGGCACTCCTAAAGATAACAGCAACGCACAATATTATCTAAAGGTGAAGGAAACTGCTTCTTTTTTATTTGAAATGTAGGCGGAGAGTGCTTCTTGTAGTGTAAATGATTACCTTCATCATCCCCAAACAAACTGCGCTTGAGTTTTTCCTCTGCAGTTCGGCCACTGTGGCCGCCTTCCTCAATTTCCTCTTCATCAGAAAATCGGGTTCTTTCTTCTTGATCAGTATCCCTCCCTGCTTTTTTCAATCGCTTAAATTTCTTGCTTCCCTGAAAAGTATTAACCCAATTTCCGCATATTAATTGGTTGGGCCACAACGTGGTACTTCGAGAACATTTTAAATAATTATTTACACATTAGTTGACAGTTTTGCGATCGGTTTTACAAAATTTAAACACAAACTGAGGATGAAAACAAACTAGTTAAGAGGAAATGACAGATCAAAATAGTTTCAAAATTTAAGGTTCTGGACCACAAATGTCATTACTATAGGTGTTCCACGCAATGTTTTAACATTTACTCAAATAATTACAAATACAAGCGATGAGTACTAAATCTTACAGGTTTGGGGCGACGGAAGCCAGTAACATTAGCCTCCTGGAGCAACTCATAGTCATCTTCATCGAGCTCATAATTCTCCTCAGTTTCCCTAAATTAAACAAGATACCCAGGAATATAAATTGAGAGTCCATAAATAGTGACAATTGTGTGTAGGGAAGACAGAAAATTTGGAGAACAATAATTGATTACCTTTTCCTCCTTTTCTTCTTCTTTGCTTTCAAATCCTCATCACTATGATCCCTTTCTTTCTCCTCTTCTTCTTCCTGCTCATCTTCAACATCGTCTACAATAAATCCATCCTTCTCATATTCATCTGGGCCTTCCTCTGCAAATGAATCAGAAGCTCAGAGAGGAAATAAATTCAGGCAAAGCCAACAATAACACGACATCAAAAATAAAAGGTAAACTAGGGGAAAAAAAAGGGAAAAAATCGAATCAAAGGGCCTGAAATCCACTGCTAGTTATTCAGAATTCATCCAAACTACTCACCTTCTTCTTCCTCTTCATCGTCATCTCCTCCATCAACATTGGTTGCTTCATTATCCTGAACTATTCTATCTACCTCTTCGTCATACTCATCTGACAGAAACAAATATTAAGAATGAAAATGAGTAAAAAAAAATCGCCAGTTACTAATGCATATATAAATGAAGACATATTTGCAGGATACATCCATTATGTTAAACGTAATGGTAAAAACCAACTTGAAAAACTTCAATGAGAATAGGAGAGGGACAAAATAAGAACGCAATAACTTACAATTTTTAAGGCAAACAACAGTCAAGTAACTGATGGGAGAAAAAAAAAAAAACAAAGTATATTAACAGGAACTCGCATGCAAAGTTTCTCTCACGTATAAGAGAAGCTAAATTCAAAAGAAGAACCAGCACGACCAAAAATGTAAACGAACAAAGTATAAAGCTGGATTTCTACCATTTGTAACCAAAAAATGCGACGACCCCAAAACCATATAACATAAAACCTAGAAACCCTAATCTGCACATACCTTCATCATCTGAAACAACTGCTCTTCCCATGGCAACCAGTGAAACAGATCCCCTTCAAATCACCTCACACTTCAGGCCTTAATCAAAACCCTAAGAACCATAAATTTTCAGACCTAAACATTTAACAAATGCCCGAAAACCCTAGCTTTTCACTTGCTCCACGATCACAAACCCTAGAGACCCTATTCTCAGCTCAGGCTCAAATCAAACTCCCTGAAAACCCAAATTTATGGAGTAAAACTTCTGACAATTTGAAGAACCTAAAAAATCATAATTTCTACGAGAAATAGCAGAGACGTAGGCTCCCAAATGCCCTAGCAAGCTCAATTCGCATGGAAAAAAAACAGAGTAAAATGAATAAAAAAGTAAGAGCAGGAAAGAGGCCATTTGGCGGCCAAGTGGGTATTTATGGGAAAGGCAAATGGATGATCCAAGAGAAATGGCCAGAAAACCCTGGTTCTTTTTTGAGATTACAATATTGCCCTCAAAATTTACCGAATTACCTTTATTTTATTTTATTTTATTTTATTTTATGGTAAGTGGGGTGAAGGCCCTTATCTTTGATAGGAATTAAGTTTAGGATCTAATATTTTTATTTTATTTTATGATGAGTTTAGGATCTAGTATTGCAAATCATCGCACTGACCCATTATTTTTCTCATATTAATATTGTATAGGGTGTAGTTTGTATAAAGTTGAGGCACCAAACAAACAAAAGTAAGGCTCGCCTTGAAATACTGCTGAAATATGTTGTTCAATATCATAAATATTTATGATGGCCTTAAAATTTATTTTCATCTTGAATTATATAATTTAAATATTACGAAATAATGTGGATCGAGCAAATCTATGAATGCTTGAAAATTGATGATCTAGTTAAGACATTACAAAATACATTATTTTCTAAACTTTAAATATATTTTTTCTCATGTTCATACATCTTGAAGTTGATATCATCAAATTGAGAGCTTTTTAGCACCAAAATAACGTCTTGTAATGAATTTTTGAGCTACACTTTAATTTGATTGTCTAGGGCCTAACCCTTAGATAAGTGACTTATATAGGGCTCCTGCCCTATTTATTGAAGGGTAGCTTGTCTCACCATCCATTAGAAACCATTCTCTCTTATCTCTCTTCTCATCTGATTCTCTCTCTAAACTGACAATGTCACTAACCATTGTCTCTCTGGGCCACAAAAAACCAGAGAAAGTTGCAAGGAGTATTAAAGAAAATTTGCTAGAAGCTTCTAAAACTACAGGGAGAGAGAGATAGAGAAAGAGTACAGAATCCAAAGGAGAGGAAATGAAAAAAAACAAAGGCTCAAGGAAAAAAATTATTTAAGTGTGAGATTCTAAATAATCAAACAAGGGCACATCTCAAAAAATTCACTAGAAGATGTTGTTTTGATGCTCAAACATCCTCAAATTGATCATCTCGATCTCAAGATGCATGGACATAAGAAAAAATGGACTTCAAGTTTTAGAAACAACGCATCTTGAAATGCATTTTTTGACCGTCAATTTTCAAAATTTTCAAGTTTTCATAAATCGGCTCAATCTATACTATTTTTAAAGCTTTAACTTTAATTATTGAAACCGTATTTATCAACACCATTTGAATGTATGTTTTACTTTGATTGTTCATAGCATCGGGTTTATACAAACTGCACCCATCAATAAATGGTGCTCCACTAAAACTCTTGAGCTTATCTTTCAATCTCTCTCTAGTTGCAGAGATGTCAGCTTGAAAGAGAGAGTGCTTGGAGAGAGCAAAGATGGACAAAACCTCTCTAGTTGCTGAGATATTAACTTGAAAGAGAGAGTGCTTGGAGAGAGCAAAGATGGACAAAATGTTTAGAGACAGATTAGAGAAGAATTTTGAAGTTTTCTAAAGAGCACGAGGTTACTAGGGCTCTTAGTGCCCCCGTTTCCTGTGCCTTTACTTGAGAAATCCTCATCATCTAAATTATCGAATGGTGAGGAAGGTTGTCGCCCTAGTTGTCTTACGGGGTTCCAGCCTATTAAACTTTTTCCATTTCTATAAGGGTATGGTTTGCATAAAGTTTCAAACTTAAATAATTAAAGTAAGGTACACTTCCAAACTTTGTGAAGAGATACAATTTTGGTGTTAAAAAATATTTTGATAATGCGAAAATCTATTTTTATTTCTAATTATAAAATTTTAAGCTCAAAAAATGGTTGAAATCAAACAGATCTATGAATGCATACAAATCTTGAAAATTGATGGTCCAAATAATGTGTTACAATATGTGCTATTTTTAGGACTTTAAATTATTGTTTTAAAGATTGAGATGATCAATTAGATGTTTTCCCAATATCTAAAGGAAATTTGTTTCATGTGGGCTAGATCACATTTATACATATGCGGTCCCAAAAGTGTAAAGCATCTTAAAGATGGATGCAAGTAGGTGTTCCATCTAAAAACAATGGTAATTGTCCAAATGCTTTCTTATTATAATTATTATTTATAGTTTTTAAAAGTTATTTATTTTTTCATATTCACAATCTCTATGTTAAAGATCACATGTATTTAAAAATTAAGTCTTAAAATCCATTTCAAAAATAGTTTTATTAAGAGGTTCGCATTTCTACATATATGGACTTGGCCACATGAAAACCATGTCCATATTTAAGTTACCTTTCTCAACGGGTACACCTTAATTCTATATTTTAAGGTATCGACCATATATAAACTTTTTCTTTTTCATAATGGATGGGATTTCCACGAGTTAGCAGAGTCACATGTACACATGCGTTCTTTCTCTAAAATTCATCTTAAAAATAATTTTTTTTATACAAACTTTTAGAGACGGGTGATCTAGGCCAAGGTGATAATGACTATAGATTAATATAAAAAATTTAATTTTAAAATTTACTCTTTTATTTTAAAAAAGCTTAGAGTTGTCCATAAGTTGTTTTCTTCCGGTGCTCTTTCCACGACGACCATCTTAAAGATGGACGTTCGTGAGTCAGCAGGCTCTTGAGGCCGCTGACACAATTCAAACTTGCCCTTCTATAATTGCTTGTGCGGGAATTTTCTTTGCGTGTTTGATTGTTGGAAGAGGGGGCTTCTCCTCCATACGGCCGGCTTCCATCAAAAGATGTGGTTTTTAAGCTCACTAGAATGCGTGGTGGATGTAGTATTCAACTTTGGTGGAACTTGGGTTTTGGCTCCCAAAAAGTTCCACCAAACAAACACGCCCTTTGTTCTTTACTCCTCGTAATAATCTATCTTCCGGGGCATACGATGATTCTCTCGCTGTCTGAGGCATCAATTTACACATACATACACATAGATAGAGGGTGTGTTAGGGGTGGCAACGGACACAGAACTCGCCCAGGACCTGACGGGTAGACCCAATCAAGGTCCGGGTATGGGTCAAAAAATTGGACTTGGGGATTGGGTCTAGGTCCCAATCTTGGATCCAAACACTACTTGGGTCTTGGTCTGGGTCCATGTGGACTTGACCCTAATAGCGTTGATATTTAAATAAATATACTTATATATTTAATTAATAATATTTAAATAACGCATATATATATTTAACAAATTAATGAAATATATTTAAGCATATTTAAATATATAGATATTTTGATTTTTGGGTTGGGTCTGATCGGTTTGGGTCATGATCAAGGTCCCACATTATATTTTTGGGTTAGTCTGGTGACTTCGGGCCCGATCGGTACCCATCGCCCCCTAGGTATGGTTGCATAAAGGGGCAACCTTTGTTCTGACAAATATTTAACTTATTTCAATGAATAAGGCCTATGCTTTATGAAAACAAAATAAAGCCCCATCTCGAATCCTTGTTTGAATAATATTTTCAGAAATATAAATCTCCATAATGACTCTAAAATCAATTTCCAATACCATTAAAAAAATTTGAAACTCAAAAAATGGTACAAATCTTGTGGATCTTTGAATACTTATTTTTAAGACGAAATGACGGTCCAAATAATTTATTATAATATACACTACTTTTAGAGTTTAAAATCTTTTTTTTTTTTTACAATCATAATGTTCAAGCCAAGATGATTGACGTAAAGGTTTTTCAATACTTGAATTGGAATTTAGACGAGTTATGAGGTGATATTTTACTTAGTTTTGATAGGGATGCATCCCTACCAAACCATTTTTATTTGCTCAATGAATGTGGGGGTAGTTGTAAAAACAAGGGCTTTTTTAGTGTTTTAAAAAGTTGTTAGGAAGTAGGATGTTAAGAAAGTTGACATTAGGGAGGTTTTAGTAATTGGTACGGTTTCTATAAAGTCGAGGCTCTAAACAATAAAAGTAAAGCCCATATTTAAATAATGTCCAAAAATGTGGTTTCAATACTGAAAATCGTTGTGATAAATTTAAAATATATTTTCATTTATAATTATGAAATTTAAAGTTTAAAAAATAGTGTAAATCGAGCATATATAAAAAAGAAAATCACAAAACCCCCCAAGTATACTATCTATGCAACTTAACCCCCAGCTAACATTTCCTCTCACTTTCTTCCCCACACCACATTTCTTCGCAAAAACCCCCAAGGTAAAATGTTGTTATTTTTTGGACGAAAATGCCATTCTCGTACAAAAAAGAGTCAATTGGCGATCCCAAGTAACGTATTGCTGGAGCGACCAATGCAACCGCTGGAGCGATATGGCTCCAGAAGTTGTACTGCGAGAGACCAATGCAACCGCTGGAGCGATATGGCTCCAGAAGTTGTACTGCGAGAGCGCATATTTGTACGGTCAAAGCCCTTTCATTGCCGGAGCGACCTATTCAACTACTAGAGCGCATGTCTTCATTGTCAGAGTAACCACCCTCTTCATTACTGGAGCGCGTGTCTTCATTGCTGAAGCGACCATCTACATTATTGGAGTGTGTGTCTTCATTGCCGGAGCGAGCCTCCACATTAATGAGCGTGTGGGTAAAACGCACGGGGAGAGAGTCGTAGGTAAAAGCCACGAGGAGAGAGAGGGGATAGTTTAGTTTTTTTTTTTTTGGATTGAGGGGGTATTTGCGAAGAAAGGTGGTTTGGGGAAAAAGATGAAAGGAAAGGTTAACTGGGGGTAAGTTGCGTAAATTGTATATTTGGGGTTATTTTTGTAAGTTTCTTTATATAAAAAGACGTGCTTTTCAAAGTTGAAAATAAAAAAATACATTACAAGTTGTACTATTTCCAAAACTTGAAATCCATTTTTTTCTGTCCATGCATATTGATATTGAGATGATCAATTTGAGAATATTTAGGCATCAAAAGAACCTTTTCCAATTAAATTTTTGATGTGAGCTCTATTTTAATTGTTTAGAGGCTCTAAACAATAAAATAAAGGCGCATCTCAAAAATTCATTAGAAAAGTTATTTTAATGGTGAAAAACCCTCGATCATCTCAACCTCAAGATGTATGGACATGCTAATTTGTTTTATTCCAAGTATTGAAAATAATGCATCTTGTAATATATTATCCAGATAGACAATTTTCAAGATGTTGAAGTGTTCATAAATCCACTCGGTTCTATTTTTGTACTTTAAATTTTATTATTGGAGATAAAATAAATTTTCAAGCCCTTAAACAGATCTATAATATTAGAACAATATATTTCGGCACTATTTAAAGGTGCGCTCTATTTTGATTGTTTAGAGCCTCGGCCTCATACGAACCACACCCTTTAAGTTTTCAGTTTTCACTGTTGACCGCCAGCCGGCGCCTTTAATCCCCTATCCGAAGACAACTATTCAACAACGAAGAAAAGCGGCACAGAATAAAAAATAAAAAAAACTGAAAAATAAAAAGAAAACACAGACGCCTTTTCATCACAAAATTTTCAGAGAAAGGAGTAATTTTTCCCATTTATATGGATTTCGTTTTTTTCCATGGTTTTTTTCACGGCAGAAGAAGCTAGGTTTTTGTTTCTCTCTCTAAAATTGGAGGGAAGAAATGGCGAATTCTTGTGCCCTGCAATGCCTTCCAACGATGGTTCAACCGAGATGTGAGAGAAAGCCTTTGCCATTGTCGAATTATGGAAGATTTTCTCAGAATGGGACAAATACCTCAGTGTTGTTCCCAGAGGAAAGCCCTAATAAAATGCAGCTCTGATAGGCAAGCTAAAGGGACAATGCAAGAGGTGGAAAGGCTCTTCTCAAATCTTAACCAGGTCACATTGAAGAGAGAACGAGGTCCTCTCTCTCTCTAGATTTAGTGTTTATCGTTCTCTCTCTAAAAGGACCTGGTTCTCTCTTTCATTTATCCCTTTGAATGAATTACGGTTTATATGTTAAAATTAAGAGAGAGAGAGAGAGAGTTTATGCGAGCTAATGATAAATGTATTTGTTCTTTATTATTCTTTTAATAAGTGATTTCCATTTTTGTTTATTTTTCCTGCTTCCAGGAAGCTCGTCAAGTGCAGTATTTTTGGTGGCTGGCACCACGGTATTTTCTCATTTCCAATCACTTTCTTCTTCTTCTTCTCCTTCATCCAACTAGAGCTAAATTATGGTAACCACTTCCTTTATAATTCTCCACTTAATTCACTTTGAATCAGTGGTGAAAAAAAACTAGGCCGAGTTACTAGGACTCGGCCCCTTGACAATTAAAAATAAAATAAAAGATTATAATTTGTATTTTAAATCATGAAATCAATGTGTACATATTTTATTATGTGATTTTTATTTTTTGATGATGATTCGTGACTTTTCTTGTCAAGAGCCGCATTTATATTTTTCTCTTTTTTTGGATTATTTTGGACCGTCTCAAGCTATAAATCAAAATTTTCAAAATCATCATCATCATCCAATCTTATCCCAATTATTTGGGGTCTAATCAAAATTTTTTAAATCCATGCTTTATATATATTTTCTATCTTAGTTGGACTTTTCATGTTGTTTTTAGTTTAGTTTGATTTAATACTATTTTTTACTTTAATTTTCAACATTTTTTTTATATTTTATTTTAAGGGCTTTTTTGGCCTGGTACACTATTTGGGTGAGTCCGGACTTGCACAAGTTATCAGCTCAGGCAACGGGCAGCGGGCAAATCCCGAGCCCGACCAAGTTTGTGGAACTTGCTTTAAATGGTTCCATATATGAAAGAACATCAACTTCAATTCGCATGAAAATGATTTATTCCATGCCCTAGAGTTATTATTTGTCGAAAGTTATATTATTAGGTGTCTAATTCCCAAAAGCAAAAGAAACAACAATCTTTTGGTGTCTATAATGAATATTTTTTAACTTACTTGTCTTATGAAATCATGCAGAGAATATATTTGTTAGATTTAAGTTTTTAACTGTTATGTATTAAGATCTCTTATTTGTTGTGCATGTAAGGGCTCGTCTTATGTTTATTGTTGCCAATTACTATTGTATTTTTGCAATTTGGAAATTCATGAGTTTGTTGCGATGTTCGACGACCTAGCAATAGCAAATATTATTTTAAAAAACGAGATAAACATTTAATAATCTATAAAAGTGGATCACCTAAAAGCTAGATAGACATCTTCCTAGTTAAGAAGATAGATCGACTATCATGTAAAGACTGTAAGGTTATCCTAAGAGAGAGTTTGACTACCAAACATAGGCTCGTGGTTCTGGATGTCTACATAAAGACATGGAAGAGAAGGGATGAAATTAATAAGTGTTCAGAAACTAGGTGGTGGAATTTAAAAAAACAAGAAAATAAACTTATTTAGGGGTAAACTAGTTAAAAAAAGAAAATGGAAGTCTAAACATGAGGTCAATGTTATGTGGAATGAGATAACTGACTGTATTAAGAAGATGGCAAAAGAAGTTTCAGAAGAATCCAGAGGAAAAAGAAATTTCGATAAGGAAAATTGATGGTGGAGTGATGAGGTTCAGAAGGCCATTAGTGAAAAATAATCATGTTATAAAACTTGGCAATGTAGTAGAAATGATCAAATCTTAGAAGACAATAAAAAACTAAGAAAAACACTAAAAAAATAGTAAAGCTAAACATAAGGCATATCTATATAGTAAATTAGGAACAAGAAAGGGTAAAAAAGATGTCTTCAAATAAGCAAAAATGAGAGATAGAAAGTGTAGGGATCTAGACCATATTAAATGTATTAAGAGTGATGATTAGAGGATCTTAGTGAAGGGTGAAGACGATGGTGAAAGGTGGAGAATTTATTTTAAAAAAATTATTAAATGACGAACACAATGAGAACATAGCACTAGAACGAACCGCTGACATAAATGAGGGCGGAGGTCAGAACTACATTTGTAAGATTAGGATATCGGAAGTGAAATGAGAACGAAGATAGAAAAGGCTTTAGGACCATATAGTATTCCAATAGAAGTTTGGAAGTGCATAGGGGAGATTCGCATTGACTGACGCATCAAGTTGTTCAATAAAATGTTGAGAACAAAGAAAATGCCAGATGAATGGAGGAAAAGTTTTGTGGTACCTATCTATAAAAACAAAGGCTATATACAAAATTGTGCAAACTATCAAGGGATCAAACTTATAAGCCACACTATGAATTTGTGGGAGAGAGAGACTGAGCAATGACTAAGGCATGAAATGAGTATATCAGAAAACCTATTTGGTTTTATGCCAGGGAAGTCAACGAGGCTATTTCCCTATTTAACAAACTGACTGATAAGTTTAAAGTGAAGAAAAAAGACCTCCACATGGTCTTTTTAGATCTAGAAAAAACTTATGATAGAGTACCTCGATATTTGATTTGGTGAGTGTTAGAAAAGTAAGGAGTCTCTAGACACTACATTGACTCGGTGAGAGATATGTAAGAGGGAGCATTAACTAGTGTACGAACAACTAGTGGAGAGATGAGTGAGCTTTCAGTGATAATAGGTCTACATCAGGGGTTAACAGTGAGCCGATACCTCTTTGTCTTAGTTATGGACGACCTAGCTAGGCACCTACAAAATGAGGTAACGTGGTGCATGTTGTTTGCAAATGACATAATTTTGATCGATGAGACCCGAAATGGCGTCAACACATCGTTAGAACTTTGGAGAGACGCTCTAGAATCTAAATGTTCTAAAATTAGCCGGACTAAGACAAAGTATATGGAGTGTAAGTTTTATAATAATAGGAGTAAAGACGAGGAAGTAGTTAAGATGGCCAAGAAATATCAAAACGAGTGCAATTTCGATATCTTGGGTTGATAATCTAAGAAAATTGAGAGATTGAAGAAGATGCCGTACATAGAATTAGAGCTGGGTGGGTAAATTGGAGATGTGCAACTATAGTTTTATGTGATCGTCGCATACCAATGAAGCTAAAGGGCAAGTTCTATAGGACAAATGTGAGACCAACTTTGCTTTATGGGGTGAAATGTTGGGTAGTCAAGAAACAACATACCCATAGAATGAGTGTAGCTGAGATGAGGATGTTGAGATAGATGCAAGACAAGAAGGGATAAAATTTGACATGAATTCATTTGAGAGAATTTAGGTGTGGTACTAATAGGCTATAAGATGAGAGAAAGTAGATTTAGGTGAGTTCGCTATATGTGGTGCAGACTCTGTACAACAACTATTAGTATGCACGAGTTAGTTCAAGTAGAAAGTTAAAAAAAAGCAAGTGGCACCCTCAAAAGGACATAGTTGGAAGTGGTTAGAAAAGATATAGGACTTATGGCCTCACTGAGGGTATAACCCTTAATAGAGTACTAGAGTAGAATGGCGGACCAGGTTTTCGTGTAGCCGACCTCAATTAGTTGAGAAAAGGCCTTGACGATGATGGAAACCATGAGTTTGTATTGGAATTATGTTAAGACTCTTTGCATTAAGTCACTATGCCAAAGTAAAGCTCTGTGAAATTGTATTTGTGATCCGCATAACGTGGGATTCACACACTGCTGTGGTGCACTTTAATTCAATTGTAGTTCACAATGTTTTTGAGCTCAATGCCTGGTGATAGAGTGCAGCCGGTCTTCCTAACAGATGATTCAGAAGTAGATCTTTGTGTCTGTGTCATGACAAGTGGGCTTCATAGCTCAAGGAGCTCTGTGTGTTTGCCCACGATGACTGCATGCATTTCTTATTTTCGAATGCGTTTGATTTGGTATTTGATCATAGTTTTGAGAAGTGATGCTTGTTTTGTTCACATCATTCATTGTTAACATATTTGTTTCATGCAAATCACAGATAGGTGCAGGCATTTTGGCCATCCCTGCTGTCACACAAGAAGCTGGATTTTTCGCATCTGCTTTGACATGCTTTCTATGCTGGATTTATATGATATTATTTGCTGGTTATTTTGCATTCCCAGAAATATCGACTACACGGATGGCCCATACAATACTATGATAAATGTGAAATTGCAGGTTGTGACAGGATTGTTGATTGCTGAAGTGAACGTCAATACCATGTGTGAACTTGGATCTGGGTGTGTCTCTTTGGTAACTGTTTGTGTTGTTTATAAAGAACATAAACTTATAATTGCATTCATCAAAAGGTAAGAGTTATTATAAGTTTGTAACTCCTTTTGTTTCGCATTTAAAAGATTTCAGTTTAAAATTTCTTCTTGGATTGGTTTTCATTACTATTTTCTATTTGATTAATTCAGCGTTTCAAATTATCTGACAAACTGCACTACGTTTATTTTTTCTCTAGCTGATTGTAATCTTTCTTCGCAAGACCTTCCATGGCTTTTAAAAGTACTTCCTTTTTTTATTTTTTATTTAACTCTTTTTTATGGTGGTTTTTTTTTTGTTTTGGGGGTGGGGGGAGGGGGTTGGCAAATGCTGCTTATGTTTATTATTCTTCCATTACTTATCTAAGCTGACGAGACTCATCGTAAAGTTCAAAGTAGGGTGTTTGTGCGCAGATAATCTTTGTGACAGTAGAAACTGGATGTAATTGACTGTCTTTAAGACTGTTTAGGTGTCAATGACCATGAGAAGTCTTGGAAAAGCTGGGGTTCAAATAGCTAGGTATGTGGAAAAGCTTGGTACCTGTAATGGCTTTTCTAATGTATTTCCGAAAGAAACCTGTACAATAAAACCATTTACTCTTAGTGTACGGAGGTCATGATCATTATTGATAGTTAGATGTGGGATGTGTCATTGGCTCGGCACAAAGTCCAAAATAAATTGTTTTGAATACTGTAACACACTTCAATCTATCGATTTCACATCCTCCTTGTAGCAAAAGTGGATGTCAAAAGTGGTTGGTCTTATAGTATACGATCCCATTTCTGAAGTCCTTATGAGAGAACAATCTTTGGAGCGTGGAGATTAAGTATTGCAGCACTCCAGCGATCTGTAGCTATAAACTGGTTTTGATAATAAAGGGAACTATCACTGTGAAATGCCCCTGAATCTCAAAAAGTTTATGTACACTGCTAATGTCGTGTTTTCATACCATGAACTGTCTACCAAAAATTATGGTCTAAAGTTGAGAAGTATCCATGCATGCCCAAGCAGAGGCAAGTTGTACCAAGTCGAGTTGCTGAGGCTTCTAAGATTTGATATGCTGTCCCTTTTTTTTCCCAATTAAAGAACTTTGGCTCATCGTAGCTCTCATTTGGGTCAGAGGTAGTTGGGGCATTGGTTCAATCTTCTCTTTGTTAGCATTTGGATTCTTCGTTCTTTCTTCTATGTCAACGTGCCATTGTATTGGCACTTCTGTTATCATATGGGATAAAAAAGTGCTTAAACTCTCTATCTGATAGGGTGATATAGCCGCAGAGGCTATCTGTCGTCCTTTTGTTCTTTGAGTTTCTCTCTCTTTCTCATGCATTTTTTCTTGGTTTTCAGTATGTAATTGTTATATGTGCTTCTTTTCCCAAGATATGTCTAAGACAAAGTGCTTGTGGACTTTCAGTACCCATTTGTTTGTGGCATTCATCAATATGTTATTGACCATGGTTTTATATATGAAATCAGGCTCACTATTTTCTCCAAAGTACATTTTACTTCTGTTAACATTGTCTTACAAAACAATTGTGTTGCAGCTGGTCATATCTCTTCATACCCTATGCGCTTCTCATTGCCTATGTGGCTCGTTCTGCTGACATTTTGACAAATTTCCTTGGCATTCCATTGTATTCTTCTGTATCCCTTTCAATTATTTATTTTTGGATGGTTTGTTTTGTTCTTATTGATCGCTTATAATGGATTGAACGTTGTGCCCTGGAATTTATAGGCAATAACTTTGATTGCTTGCCTATGTAAGGATAATCGACTATTCTATTAGTTTTGCCAGTACTTTTCAAGATTTTGAAAAGCATCCAGAAACAAAACCAACAGTTATCCGTATCCAATGTGCTGGACCTTTTGTTTTCCTTTTGGTATTTGCATTAGGAAGTTGAACTACTTCCACCACTAAATCTTTCAAATATTTAGGGCTTGGTTGTTGGTCTTAGTGTTCTGGACTTTTGTCCGTTAGTCACTAAGACTGATGGCAAAGCCCAAATACTGAAAGATATACTGGCCTCACAAGCTTCCTACTTAGTAGTTCCTAACTACACACATGCCCATGAACCCTGCAATTCCAGCTACAATATTGATAAAAGATTATTGGAAGTTACATGAAAGCATGCATCACTCGGAAGTAAGTCTTCTTTCAGAAACTTTTGATTATAAAGACATTGAAATTTATGTGGTACTTGAGAATTATTTGATAGAACTTCACTCTCTATGGTACTAGATCCACTCGCACCTATTGAATCCGAGAGCCGTCATGGTGCTGATTAAGAGTACAGCACGACCATAGGGAAGCAAAACAAATTTCTAAATAGAGGTTTGGAGGATCAATTTTATGGTGGAAATGGTCTAAGGGAGGTTGGATATCAATCGACAATTTTCTTGGTTACTTGGTTTTAGCAGCTAGTTACTTCTTCCAGGTTTTAGCTCTGCAAGAAGAATTTTCAGTCCCCTAATATGTGGTCATCTAAGTTCTATAAAATTTGTACTCATGAACATAATCATGATGTTGGGCCTTCAATCAACCATTAGCTCACAATTACTTAGTTTTAGCAGCCAAGTACTTCTCTGAGGTTTTAGTTTTTCAAGGAGACCATTGGGGCCTCCATTAAGTGGCCATCTATGTCCTATAATATAAGTATTATGTGGATAAAAAGATTTCGTACCTTAACTTTTTAGTAGTTCATGGCTTGCTTTTGTAATAGAGAGTTGGATATTAACAAATAGATGTTATGCGTATGCTGCAATTATTATTTTAAAGCTTTGGAACTAGTTTAGTTGGCCTATTTATTCGATTTGCGTTATTATTGCAGATGGGAAAGTGCCATGTTGTATTCATTGGTTTTTGGTGGTATATGCTATTTTGGAAGGTAAGTGCTGTAAGATGAAATTGTCACTTGTTTTATATTAGAATATTGATATTCATATCAATCTTTATATAAGAATTTAACGCTTCTTTTACCATTAATTCATGGAAGGATGATAGAAAAAGGATTAACTTAGGGTTTTCACTGCAGTCAACGGATTATAGGTGCGATTAATGGGCCTTTGGTTTTGGGAATCCTAGTATCTTTTGCAGCACTTGTGGTATTTTTATCACTCGTCTGAACCTTTTCTTTGTTTCTGAACTATTAAGTAGTAGGGAAAGGTTTCTATACTTCCCCTACAGCATAGAAGATCTATGCTTCCCCTACCATCCAGCCGTCCAATTTTGATCAAGAGAGCCACTCACCATTTGATCTTAGATCTGACGACTCAAAGTATTTTATTTTTAGTTTTTTTGTACAAATTTTATGAATATGAAATCTGGTATGTGTCATCTTCTCACTGTGGCGCACCTAGAAAAAGTATTAAAAATATTTTTTCGATAAACTATAATGACCAAATTTCCCCTTGAAACTTTCAGGGGTATTTTGGTCATTTTATTTTATTGAAATATTTGTTTTTATATTTTTTGCTAGTGAGAGTTTAATAGAGGATTGGACGCCCAAAATTTGGTGTCGAAATAGTTTATAGAAAAAAAAATAATATTAAAATAGTGTAGAGACGTGACATTGTGATTGGGCCAATCTTAGCCCTCCATTCAGAATGGACAGTTGGATAAGGGGAAGTATATACGTTTGATGCTATAGGGGAAGCATAGAAAGCTTGCCCTAATTAGTATATTGTAGTTGGGTTACTCAAACTTGGTTCTCTCTACTTTTTCTTCACGTATTGGCTCATTGTTTTCATGATTTGGACTCCTTATGGGTTAGGTGGAAACTTTCATTAGTAGCTATGGCATTGAACTGAAAAATGAGCACCAGCTAGGCCAACCTTTGAACAAGTGCTTATAATTGGTTGACATAGTTTGCAATTTTAAATGCTAAAGTGGTGCCTTGGCTCCGAGGGATGCTTTTCCTAAGACTTGTAGCTATGTTCTTAGGTTTCAATGCAAGAGAGCTCATGTGCTTGCACACACAAACCAGGTGTGCTTCTGTGTTTGTGTTATGCGCATATATTCGTGAATGCATAAATGTCAGGTAACTACTAAATAGAAAATTGATTGCAGATTTTGTGATTCTTTCACTTGTTGGTGCAATTCCTTGAATGTTGTTTGTGGGATACTGGTATCACCTAGGAAAGTCTGATTTGGGTGGGTTTCCTTTCAACATATTCATGGAGAAACTATAGATTCAGTGGTAATCCAAAGGGGATACCCAAGATGGCATATCAGATTAATTTCAGGACTTGGGATTACAACATTATGAGTCTTAGTGATATTATAGGACATTGAGACTTGTATTTGTTTTTGACTTTTGAGACATGGATGGTATTACAATTGTTATGGATTTTCATGAGTTAATATCGTGGTTTGAGAAAACGTCATAACCCTTCCTATTCTTCCCTCCAATCATCCCCTTCTTCCCCCTTCTCACCCCCACCAACCCCACCCCACCAAAAAAAAAAAAGAAGAAGCAAATCCAACCCTGGTGCTCAGCTTCGCCAAACAAATTCAGTTCAGAAATTTGTCGGACCCTAAATCATACTTGTTGTTGACTCGAAGGAAATAAAAGAATATCCAGAGCTGAGAGCAAATAGGAGAAATGCTGTCAATCATGGGGCTAGACTATGATGCTGTATTGATGATATTAGTGAGAAGCTTTCAAAACCCATGTGACCAAAAGGAGAACCAAAGGGCATAGATAGAAGAAACATGAAACTTAAACCTCGCATGCAATATAAACTATGACAAGAACAGCAGATGTAGACAATATTTTTCCTTTCCCATAGGCTTCAAATACTGCTCTATCGACTGATCAGGCGATCTTTCACTGTGGCATCCCCTCATCTGCTCCAAGTGAAGCCAATTGAAGATTTCATGGAGTGGAGATCTCCCAATACAAGGCTCCATATTTATCCAGTAGGTATAGAGTCTATGGACTCAAAATCATCTCCTTGAGGCCGAAGGATAGCCCAAACCCATCATAAGCTCGTGCCCTGTGGAGAAGAAGACCAGTTACTTGGCTAGCACTCCCAATTAAAGGGCCCTCAAGAGGCATCTGGGTCCTTTGGGAATTGGGTTTCTTGGGAAATTGGTTTGACGGGAAACTGTTTCTCTGGCTTGTACTTTCCCATGTTCGTTAACTTGTCTGGAATTCCCTAGGCATTCAGTTTCTTTCATTTGTAGCCTGTTTGGGAATTGTTTCGCAGGTAAATTGGAAAGCAGCCTATTTTTTCCAGGTTATTGAAAACAAGATTAATTAGATATTGATATCTGTTCAAAGAAGGAGATTGTTTGAATAACCTATTGTTAATAGGACTTAAAAAATAAACTGTTTGGATTACAAGTTCTTGATTTGTTATTAATGATTACTTCTGCATCTTGAGAGTTATGACTGGGCTTTGAATGTTTCAATTGGGAGGCTAGCTCATAAATCACTTTGCTCATATTTTAGTAGTTTAGGTCAAATTTTTTTTTTTTTGAAAGTTAGTTTACGTCAAGTTAAATTCACCATAAACAAATAAGATGACCATGACATGTATAGTTGATCACTCTATGAACCTCTGACTAGAAATCAACGTGAGAAACACCAACCAACATGAGAAGAAATAAAAATCTTGGAGGAGGTACATTGATTAAAAAACAATACAGGGAACATTAACTTACAGAACTGCAGTACACTCTTAATAGGCTTACTGCAAATTAAAAGCACAATGGGGAAAGCAAGAACTAAGGGGCATGCCAAATTGTCCAGCAATGTTACTCCAATTAAGCAATACTTCCCTTCCTATTCCTCCCATGTATCCAACAATTCTTTCCATGAGATAGTATAGGGCCAATTCTCCTGCACAGGACTGGATATTCCTTGCCTTTGGGAATACTTTGATAATATAAACTGTGCAAAAAAAGGACAAAAATAAAATAAAAAATCCAAACGAATACTATTGAATAAGCAATACTTAATAATCTTGAACAATTAACTTTCCATGTCATTAAGTAAAATTGACAATGTTTCTAACTTCCTTACATTTCTAGCATCATGTTGTGTTCACAAAATGATAACTCCAAAGGGATCCTCTGTCTTTGTAATTAAAAGGTACATGAGAAAGGAGTGGTTTAAATTTTTTCCTGAATTTTAAGAAATATGATGCTGAAAAGATATTAAGAGTATAAACTATGTCTGAAAAATATATGAAGCATATCCAAAATATATGAAGCATATCCATTACTAACAACGTGACTTCATTGTAGCTTGAGTCCACAGACAAGATATCACTTTAATCAAGTACTAACTCCCCAAATCACAACCTCACTGTTTAAATTACAAATGCAATATGCTGCTAGAAAAATAAATGCAATTTTCTTTAAATCTATTCTCATTCACTAAGGTGACCGTAACCTCTCATGAGGACATCAAAACCTATCAAGAGATCCTAAGAGTTTTGAGAGATAAGTTATGTTTTCTTAATTATGAAGAAACAGTAATCGATGAATCTGAAACTGAAACTTTTTCATGGACAATAATTAATTAATAATAACATAATTCAACAACCAATCCACAAATAACTATTACAAAAATTAACAATTAAATCTATGTAAATGCTTTGCGCAATTTCACATAAAACAGATTAAATACATACAAATAACCAGTGGTTTAAAAAACGGATCAGTGCCCCTGATCGGGCACCCCAAAAACCCATCCGGATCGGAGAATCGGTGATCCGTATCGGGAATCGGCAAATCGGTTCGATTAAGCCTTTAAAAATTCCAAAACAATTATTAAAATTCATTATAAATATTTTTTTTTAGGAATCCAATAAGAAATGGGGGTACTCCATTAAGAACTTTCATTTTTTTGCATCAATATGTTAATATTGAGATGTTTTTTTCCTGTATGAACTACTGTTAACCATTATTATTAATTATAATATTATAGTAAGCATGATTAAAAAAGAATCAGAAAATGTTTTCTTATCATACGATTAAAAATAAAAATAAAACCCCCAATAAATTCTAATGTTATGATATTAAAAAATTCAAAAAAACTTTATCCATAAAAATGAAAATAGAGATATCAAAATTCAAAAAATAAAAAAAATGCCTATCGACAACATGCACAATAGTTACAAAAAAATAAAAATAAAAATACATAAGGAAATAAAATATACCGAAGAAACCATTTTAACAATAAATAGCAAAAAATTTTATATGAAATTTTTTTAATTTGGCACTCTAATTAAGTCATTTAGTTTGGGAAATATGTTGATGAGGCTCATTGAATATGACACGCTAATTTGGAAACATGATATGCTAATAGTTATAAATTAATTGACCCCACTCATTAATATTATTAAACTAATTGACATGTTCATTAATTCATTTTTTAGAACATGATTAAACAAACTAAAAGCCCTTATAAATTTTAATTTTATGACACTAAAAAAAATTTACCCTGAAAATTAGAAAATAAAGATATTAAAATTCAAAAAATAAAAAAATGGCATGTTCATTTCCCTAAGTTGCCTCACTCCATTTATTGATGTAAAAAAAAAAAAATGAAAAAGTGGCATGGAGTAGAAAAACAAACAAGAGAGGGAAAACTATTTTGTAGAAATGTAGTTATAGAACATCGAAATAAGCAGCGTATTAAATTTTTGAATAGTTTTGAGATCCAGGAATTGTCCCACATCTAAAAATGGGAGTGCAATGACCATATAAAACCCATGATTTTCCTTGCGTGAGGTGTAAATTATTAAGCGTGGGGAGGTTGCTGCTGTTCTCAACGTTAATAGAGGGAGGTGTGGCGTGCAAGGGTACAATGACAGCGTAATGAGGTACATACGATGGGAGTGTGACTTCCGATTGGGGCGAGTGCAACTGAAGTTGTTGGTTAACTTTCGTATTGGTACGTAAAATCGTGTCTACTCCCCCGATTCACTGTAGCGTATCACTGAGAATCGGCGATTTTTCTCTTGACATGCCCGATTTTCGATATTGTGTAGGAATCGGCACGGGGTGGCTGATTCCCCGTGTCGACCTGGGCGACCCTGGGTCGACTCGCCGTCTTTTAAACCCCTGCAAAAAACATATACAGACAACTAAATGAAACCCATAGCCATCAGAATGACTGAAGGGTACTAACCCTTGACCCCATTCTCAGGTTGGGTGGATACACCGGAAGGCATTCTTGCCTTCATCTTTACAACTAATTTTTTCTGAATATCCTCAATATCAGCCATTAAAGCCTCTGTGTAATTGTTTTCACCTTGAAGGTTGGTAGGTAGGTCAGGATCATCGAGATTGGACATCCAACTGTATGATCGGTCCAAGAGATGCTATGGGCAGTTAGAAAAGAAGGGACTCTTTGGTTTGGGGTTGCAAAGTGAAATGGCAAAAACAGTTTTTTCAGTGACGAGAAGAGGTTAGAAAGGGTAGAAAGAATGAGAGGAAGGGAAATTTGGGCTTTCGGAGAAATGAAAGCATGGGCTTGATCATAAGGAGAAACTGAGAGAAAAATGATCAGTAATAGTAGGGGAGAGGGGGAACTCTGCTAACATTTAGCAGTCAATAGTATTGCTTATGTATGAAGAGAGGGGTGTCGTTTGGTGGGAGTGGAAGGGCCTATGGTGCAAAGAGCAAGCAGCTCTGCCCAAGCAAAGGAGAGAGAGAGAGAGAGAGAGAGAGAGAGAGAGAGAGAGACTAGAAAACTAGAATGA